CATGAGGCCACTGGGATGGTCCATGGGGGAATGTCTCAACGACAAGTGACTGCACATTTCCACTGCCACCGGAACACCATTTCTGCACTGGTGAGAGGCTACCAGAACACAAATGACATCATCGATCGGCCACGTTCTGGACGTCCACATGTAACAACGCCAAGACAGGACAGATGGATAAGGGTGACCCATCTTCGCCACAGGTTTCAGACTGCAGTGATGACTGCCCGAACCATCCCAGGACTTCGCCGTATCCACCCCAACACAGTCCGATCAGACCACGACGTCCCGCCATACGGCCTATCCTGACACAATGGCATCGACAAGCTCGCCGAATGTGGTGCCGAAATCATGTCCGCAGACCAATGTTTTGGTGGAGAGATGTTGTTTTTACAGATGATTCCAGGTTTAACATTTCCCATAGTGATGGACGTCAACGTGCCTATAGACGCGTAGGAGAACGTTATGCACAGGCCTGTGTCTTGGAGAGGAATCGCTTTGGTGGTGGTTCCGTGATGATTTGGGATGGAATAACAGCACGCCAAAGAACTCCTTTGGTGATTGTTCAGGGCAACTTAACTGGTGTGGGCTACAGGGATCAGATTCTTCGACCTGTGGCAATTCCTTTTCTGCAACGTCATGGGTTAACATTCCAACAGGACAATGCCCGCCCCTCATACGGCAAGGGTTGATAAGAATTTCTTGCAACACCACAACTAGGCACATAAAGAAACTGTGCATACAAACATTTAAAATCTAAATTTATCAAACCTGTGTAGACACATAAGGATTTAAACTCAGAGATTAGTGACATGTATCCAACATGCATGCACGTTCCACGTTCCGTGACATCAGTGGGTTCGTCCTTGAGACGTGCAATACGTTGTTGCACGTGCATTCCGGGAAAGAGAAACAGAGCAAATGAATGCCACACAATACTGTCACTTTGGAAAGCTCAACCCCTGCCCTTGCGATCGTTCAAAAAATTAAACGGCTATTGAAACGCATAGCATGCCAAGGCTCACATCTGCACAACGTCATGAGGCCACTGGGATGGTCCATGGGGGAATGTCTCAACGACAAGTGACTGCACATTTCCACTGCCACCGGAACACCATTTCTGCACTGGTGAGAGGCTACCAGAACACAAATGACATCATCGATCGGCCACATTCTGGACGTCCACGTGTAACAACGCCAAGACAGGACAGATGGATAAGGGTGACCCATCTTCGCCACAGGTTTCAGACTGCAGTGATGACTGCCCGAACCATCCCAGGACTTCGCCGTATCCACCCCAACACAGTCCGATCAGACCACGACGTCCCGCCATACGGCCTATCCTGACACAATGGCATCGACAAGCTCGCCGAATGTGGTGCCGAAATAATGTCCGCAGACCAATGTTTTGGTGGAGAGATGTTGTTTTTACAGATGATTCCAGGTTTAACATTTCCCATAGTGATGGACGTCAACGTGCCTATAGACGCGTAGGAGAACGTTATGCACAGGCCTGTGTCTTGGAGAGGAATCGCTTTGGTGGTGGTTCCGTGATGATTTGGGATGGAATAACAGCACGCCAAAGAACTCCTTTGGTGATTGTTCAGGGCAACTTAACTGGTGTGGGCTACAGGGATCAGATTCTTCGACCTGTGGCAATTCCTTTTCTGCAACGTCATGGGTTAACATTCCAACAGGACAATGCCCGCCCTCATACGGCAAGGGTTGATAAGAATTTCTTGCAACACCACAACGTTGACTTACTGCCTTGGCCTACAAATTCACCGGATCTCTCCCCGATAGAGCATGTTTGGGACGAGATGGATCGACGTCTACACCGTCTTCTTCATCCGCCAGATAACGTCCTTGACCTTGCAACAGAACTTGAGAGAATCTGGCATGACATCCCACAAGCCTTCCTTTCACGTTTGATAGGCTCTATGCGTTGTCGATGCACTGCTGTTCTCAATGCCGATGGTGGACATACCCGTTATTGAGCTTGTGACATGGTCGTTTGACCCCTGTCCCGCTTGTGGACTCGTGACGTCATTGTGATTGACTGTTCAATTGAAATTCTCCCGACTTGTTATGGTCTCATGATTCCTCCATTAAAGTTTATATGTACCTTTGACATTGTTATCATACTTATCAACTGGGATAATATTTTGACAATGCACAGTTTCTTTATGTGGCTAGTATACATTAGAGTCTTAAATACTCAGTGTAATGTCAGACTGACAATTGTATTTAATAGGGCTTCCACGGGTACTCGAGTACTCGAGGACGAGTCGGGTTCAGCTGGACTCGACTCCATTTTCAAGGACTCGAGGACTCGAAAAGGGGAGATAACTCGAATTATTTGACGTTGACAGACTGTCTGCCATGTGCTAAGCACGAGCGGCCGTTAACGTCTAATATTAAGATAAGATATAACTTTATTATCCCGGAGGAAATTCTTATACATCCAAACCGTCTCAAAATGAATATATACACAGTTCACAAAAATATACACAATAATTACATGCTCAAAACGAATGCTATTTACAAATAAATCTGACATGATATACATGTAATTCAATTAACCACATAGGTAAAGAGGCTGAATAATTCTAGTTCTACTCAGATGATGGTGTGATTCAAAATATCTGTTGCATTCACGAATACTTGATAGTATGAAAGACTGTCGAGCTCTGTTTGTTTTGAAGGAGGGAATCGACAGGCAGCGTCCACAAGGAAGTAGTTCAAAATGGTGAGATCAAATATATCAACTATCAAATCTAATTTTAGCTGCCTTTTTGACAATCTGGCGCTCATAGATAAAGGGAATATACTCGAAAGACACTCCAGAAATTTTGCAAGCAGTATTAACAATTTTGAAAAGTTTGTTTTTGTTGCGATGAGACAGATCCCCATACCAACATAGAAAATTGTAGGTCAACACACTTTGAATAAAGGTTTGATAAAAAACTGTCATTACGGTTTTGTCAATGCCTTGACGATAATAATGTTCAGAATCAGAAATAAGGCCAGTAACAGTGGCGTCATCTGCAAATTTCACAGTAAACAAGTCATATATTGACAAGTAACAGTCATTGGTATACAATACGAAGAGAACGGATGAAGGAACACAGCCATGTGGATCTCCAGTAGAGGTTGAGAGAAAAGAAGATTGATAGCCATTGACACTGACATACTGAGTTCTATGTACCCTGAATTCTTTAACCCATCTAATAATGTGTTTATTAACACCTAAATTAAATAGTTTACTCCTCACACGGTGTGGCTGTATGGTATTAGATGTTACAAGTCTGCAGATGAGAGTAAATATTATACATCGTTTGAGATTTCACTTCTTAAAATGATTAGGTAACTATCTTGACAATTGATAGACATGGAGAAAGATAAAAAAATCAAATGTATGGGCGTATCTTGATCTGGATAGTGAAAAGAGCAAAATAACCATATGTCGCCTGTGCGGTATATCACTGTGTTTTGCAGGCAGTACAAGAAGTACGAAGAAAAAAACATTTGTCAAGTAAACATCCAAATACTGATTCTGACCAATAGGAAATGTAAGTCACATGACGATATGAAGTCGGAAAGAAGTAAGTGTTTACTTGTATGATCGGAACACGTCATGCAATTTACGCTATCGTTTGCTTGAAAGGTATGAATTTCGAGTACTCGGGTCCGAGTCGAGTCTCATCCCTCGAGTACTCGAGTCCAAAATAATGGACTCGTTGAAGCCCTAGTATTTAAGATGCATAACCAGGTGCTGTCATGTTGATGATGCTGTATGAGAGAAGACAGGCAGGGATAATTAACAGTGATGAATGCTTTGTTAAAATATGATTGCAACATAGTTGAAAATAGGTTCAATAGACCAGACTTATATTGAATCCAATTGCTGTTTTTAAGCATGGTGGCAAATTTGGAATCAATGTTACCAATGAATTAAGCAAAACTACTACAGAAATTGTTTTAATATTCATTAGGGTGCCAATTTCGCCAGATGAAATAGGTGGCATTTTGCTGAGGATCATGTACTGTAAGGTCTGATGATTACTACAATGAGGGGCCCCTAATGTACAGTGAATATTACATTGTTTCCCTCTGGAAGCAACATATTCCTTTTCCCTGCATCCATTCTTCACATTTCTGCGTCATGTGAAACCAAGTGCTCATAATTTCAGTTGGCTTGCACATTAACCAAATCTGACAAGGAGAATAAATATAACAAATGTCTTCAAACTTTAAAAGTAACAAAATATTTGGTACTTACCATAATTAGTTACATAATTAGAAATTGGTTGGTCAGAAGTGGAAATGGCACACAACACTGAGACTAGCAAGAGCTGACGGCTACTATGATCTTGCTTTGGTTTCATTCATCGCTACTTGGAATAGCAATCAACCATAATTTTAGCAAGATTTGACCTCTTGGACATGACCTATTGCTACATCTTGAGACACAGCAGCACATCTCAGGCATCGTAATATTTGCACTATTGGCGAAGTGGTAAAGGGAGGTAACTGAGAAATGTTCCCAATTGATTGTGAAATGTCATTCTTCTGACCGCCTAATCAGGGATAATTTCAAATGAACCATCTGATGGGCATCCAATGTTCTTTCTGTCTGCTTGTTTAGGTCAAAAAAATTAATTTACACAAATTAATTTGGGTCCACTGTCCTTACAGCCTAAATATTTGATAATAAACATTTGCAGTAATGATATTTTTTGTGACTGACAATTTCCTTTTGTTTTTCAACAGCCTGAGGCACAATTTTGTTTCAAGCATATTCACGTACAATATATTTTTGCGGCATAGTCCAAGGCCCACAGGTATTTTTACAGTGCAGAACCCCCACATGATTTAGCAATCATAACTTAGATATTCAAACATTGTTTTAGCAGAGATTGACGAACTTGTCTTATGTCTACCGCTGTTTTGAGGATGAACAACATGTGAGAAAATCTTAGTCAAACATTTGACTACAGAGTCCCCCACAGTATGACAAAATGAGCAGTGATGACAAAATAAGCAGTGATGACAATCCTAGTCAGTCAAGCGGCCAACTCCGGATTGTTGACAGAGGAATAGATACACGTGTGCAGATTGGACAGAACAACACTTTCGTCACCCTGAACCTCCCAGATGGTCTCGCAGGTAATACTTCCACTGATAGGGCCAAGCTTCCCATTCTGCAGTTTTTAATTTTGAGTGAGTGAGTTGGGTTTTACGCTGCGTTTAGCAATATTCCAGCAATATCAGGGTGGGGGACACCAGAAATGGGCTTCACATATTGTGCCCATGTGGGGAATGGAACTCAGGTCTTAAGCGTGATGAGCGAACGCTTTAACCACTAGGCTACCCCACCGCCCTTTTAATTTTGAAGTTTTGAAAGTACATTTGATACGTTGCTTTTGTATTTGAAATGGAATACTTTAGCCATGGTGATTTTTTTTTGTAAACACTTTAAAAGTGTTGTTTGAGAGTTAAAAGACCTTTGTTGAAAATTCAGTATAGAGAGAAAGATGACTGGAGACATTGGTTTTATCAGTTTTATGTTTTGTAGGTTAAATAATACTTTTCCAATTAATACTTGAATCACTTCAATAAGTGGCTGCATAAATTACTTCAGTGAGATGCAATGGTGACATCATACTTCCTGGGTGAAGAAGGTCATGCTTTGTTGATAGACTGTTATACGTCTGCCCCACTTCCCAACTGCTCATGCTAGATATCCACTAATCTGAGTCTTAATGTATGAGAAGTGGTCACCCATGACTCATCAAGCTATACAGGGTGAAAACCTTCCATCTTGTTTCTGGATTTATTATTTAAAACTGTTCACAGAAAATAATTTAAATTCTCAAATTCATGTTTTATTGCCTGTTGGCAAACTTGCATGAATACTTTAAGTGCATGTTCGTTTTCCTTCTCTGTAAGAGTAGCCACAGCATATTTTAGAAATATTTCTTATTGCTTACTTGACTATTTTTGGGGTTAAATTATTGAGTGCAGAATCTCTGTTTGAAAACATTTATTGACAGTCTCACAAAGAGAATAAATAATATACATCAACTGTGTGGCAACAGCAAAGTACTTTTTGTGTAATATGCTTTCTGTTAAATAATAATAATTTTCATGTTAAAACATAAGCAATTTATGCTTCTTAATAGAAGCTACATGAATAAACTGCTGACACATGGAGGGAAGATAAACACAACAGACACCAGCCTGTTGACACATGGAGGCTTGTTAAACTTCATGGACACCAGCCTGTTGACACATGGAAGCTTGCCATACTTGATGGACACCAGTCTGTTGACGCATGGAGGCTTGTTATACTTGATGGACACCAGCCTGTTGACACATGGAAGCTTGCTAAACTTCATGGACACCAGCCTGTTGACACATATAAGCTTGCTAAACTTCATGGACACCAGCCTGTTGACACATGGAAGCTTGCTATACTTGATGGACACCAGCCTGTTGACACATGGAAGCTTGCTAAACTTCATGGACACCAGCCTGTTGACACATAGAAGCTTGCTATACTTGATGGACACCAGTCTGTTGACAAAATGGAAGCTTGCTAAACTTCATAGACACCAGCCTGTTGACACATGGAGGCTTGTTATACTTGATGGACACCAGCCTGTTGACACATGGAAACTTGCTATACTTGATGGACACCAGCCTGTTGACACATGGAGGCTTGCTATATTTGATGGACACCAGTCTGTTGATGCATTGAAGCTTGTTATACTTGATGGACACCAGTCTGTTGACAGATGAAGGCATATTATACATACTTGATGGACACCAGCCTGTTGACACATGGAGGCTTGTTATACTTGATGGACACCAGCCTGTTGACGCATGGAGGCTTGTTATATATACTTGATGGACACCAGTCTATTGACACATAGAAGCTTGCTATACTTGATGGACACCAGTCTGTTGACGCATGAAGGCTATACTTGATGGACACCAGCCTGTTGACACATGGAAGCTTGCTATGCATGATGGACACCAGTCTGTTGACACATGGAAGCTTGCTATGCATGATAGACACCAGTCTGTTGACACATGGAGGCTTGATATACTTGATGGACACCAGCCTGTTGACGCATGGAGGCTTGATATACTTGATGGACACCAGCCTGTTGACACATGGAGGCTTGATATACTTGATGGACAACAGTCTTTTGACACATGAAAGCTTGCTGAACTTGATGGACACCAAACTGTTGACACATGGAGGTTTGTTATACCTCATGGACACCAGTTTGTTGATGCATGGAGGTCAGCTAAACTTGATCGACACTAAACTGTTTACACATTGAAATTGAGGCTTGCTAACTTGATGGACACCAAACTGTTGACACATGGAGGTCAACTAAACTTGATCGACACTAAACTGTTGACACATGGAGGCTAGCTAAACTTGATGGACACCAGTCTGTTGACACATGGAGGTCAGCTAAACTTGATCGACACTAAACTGTTTACACATTGAGTTTGAGGCTTGCTAACTTGATGGACACCAGTCTGTTGACACATGGAGGCTAGCTAAACTTGATGGACACCAGTCTGTTGACACATGGAGGTCAGCTAAACTTGATGGACACTAAACTGTTTACACATTGAATTTGAGGCTTGCTAAGTTGATGGACACCAGTTTGTTGATGCATGGAAGCCAGCTAAATTTGATGTACACCAGTCTGTTGATGCATTGAGGCTTGCTAAACTTGATGGACACCAAGCTGTTGACACATGGAGGCTTGTTGGACACCAACCTGTTGAAACATTCAAGACTTACTAACTAACCTTGATGACCCTCTTGACACATGGAAGTGTTGACTAATCATTTAAATTAAGATTTGATTAACATTGAACTGTTGAATCACTGCAGTTAAACAAGACTGATGGACACCTAACTGTTGACACTTTTTGCATTCAAGCCACCTTCATAGACACGAAACTGTTGACTCATGGCATTCAAGTCACCTTCATAGACACCAAACTGTTGACTCATTGCATTCAAGTCACCTTCATAGACACTCACAAACTGTTGACTCATTGCATTCAAACCACCTTCATAGACATTTAACTGTTGACTCATTGCATTCAAGTCACCTGCTATACTTGATGGACACCAGTCTGTTGACGCATGAAGGCTATACTTGATGGACACCAGCCTGTTGACACATGGAAGCTTGCTATGCATGATGGACACCAGTCTGTTGACACATGGAAGCTTGTGATACATGATGGACACCAGCCTGTTGACACATGGAGGCTTGATATACTTGATGGACACCAGTCTGTTGACACATGCAAGCTTGGTTTACTTGATGGACACCAGTCTGTTTACACATGGAGGCTTGATGGACACCAGTCTGTTGACACATGGGGGCTAGCTAAACTTGATGGACACCAGTCTGTTGACACATGGAGGTCAGCTAAACTTGATGGACACCAAACTGTTGACACATTGAGGCTTGCTGAACTTGTTGGACACCAGCCTGTTGACACATGGAGGTCAGCTAAATTTGATGTACACCAGTCTGTTGATGCATGGAGGCTTGCTAAACTTGAATGACACCAAGCTGTTGACACATGGAGGCTTGTTGGACACCAACCTGTTGACACATTCAAGACTTACTAACCTTGATGACCCTCTTGACACATGGAAGTGTTGACTAATCATTTAAATTAAGATTTGATTAACATTGAACTGTTGAATCACTGCAGTTAAACAAGACTGATGGACACCTAACTGTTGACTCTTTGCATTCAAGCCACCTTCATAGACACGAAACTGTTGACTCATTGCATTCAAGTCACCTTCATAGACACCAAACTGTTGACTCATTGCATTCAAGTCACCTTCATAGACACCAAACTGTTGACTCATTGCATTCAAACCACCTTCATAGACATTTAACTGTTGACTCATTGCATTCAAGTCACCTGCTATACTTGATGGACACCAGTCTGTTGACGCATGAAGGCTATACTTGATGGACACCAGCCTGTTGACACATGGAAGCTTGCTATGCATGATGGACACCAGTCTGTTGACACATGGAAGCTTGTGATACCGGATGAACACCAGCCTGTTGACGAATGGAGGCTTGATATACTTGATGGACACCAGTCTGTTGACACATGGAGGCTTGATATACTTGATGGACAACAGTCTTTTGACACATGAAAGCTTGCTAAACTTGATGGACACCAAACTGTTGACACATGGAGGTTTGTTATACTTCATGGACACCAGTTTGTTGATGCATGGAAGCTTTCTATACTTGATGGACACCAGTCTGTTGACACATGAAAGCTTGCTATGCATGATGGACACCAGTCTGTTAACACATGAAAGCTTGTGATGCATGATAGACACCAGTCTGTTGACACATGGAGGCTTGATATACTTGATGGACACCAGTCTGTTGACACATGCAAGCTTGGTTTACTTGATGGACACCAGTCTGTTTACACATGGAGGCTTGATGGACACCAGTCTGTTGACACATGGAGGCTAGCTAAACTTGATGGACACCAGTCTGTTGACACATGGAGGTCAGCTAAACTTGATGGACACCAAACTGTTGACACATTGAGGCTTGCTGAACTTGTTGGACACCAGCCTGTTGACACATGGAGGTCAGCTAAATTTGATGTACACCAGTCTGTTGATGCATTGAGGCTTGCTAAACTTGATGGACACCAAGCTGTTGACACATGGAGGCTTGTTGGACACCAACCTGTTGACACATTCAAGACTTACTAACCTTGATGACCCTCTTGACACATGGAAGTGTTGACTAATCATTTAAATTAAGATTTGATTAACATTGAACTGTTGAATCACTGCAGTTAAACAAGACTGATGGACACCTAACTGTTGACTCTTTGCATTCAAGCCACCTTCATAGACACGAAACTGTTGACTCATTGCATTCAAGTCACCTTCATAGACACCAAACTGTTGACTCATTGCATTCAAGTCACCTTCATAGACACCAAACTGTTGACTCATTGCATTCAAACCACCTTCATAGACATTTAACTGTTGACTCATTGCATTCAAGTCACCTGCTATACTTGATGGACACCAGTCTGTTGACGCATGAAGGCTATACTTGATG